GCCCTGTCCTGCACCCTCTGCCCTGTCCTGCACCCTCTGCTCTATCCTGCACCCTCTGCCCTGTCCTGCACCCTGCCCTGTCCTGCACCCTCTGCCCTGTCCTGCACCCTCTGCCCATTCCTGCACCCTCTGCCCTGTCCTGCACCCTGCCCTGTCCTGCACTCTGCTGGATCACCTATGCTGCATCACCCTCATCATCTCTCACATAACTTGAGTCTACTTTAGTCACTGTGTCAGTCTGTTTCATTGAGGGTCTTCCCCTCCTTCATTGACCCTCCACCTTTCCAAGCAAGATGTCTCTTCAAGGATTTGCCCCTATATAAATCATGTCCAAATTAAGAGACAAAGCTTCACTATCTGTGACTCCAAAGAGTACCCTAATATTTCCAAGACACATTTGTCCTTGGCAGTCCATAGGATGTGCAGCACTTTCTACATCACAACTCAAAAGACATCAGTTACTCTCCTGCCTCCTGTGTATGTCCAGAACAGGGGTCATCCCCACCACTATCCCAGCACTCCATGACTCCTGAACTCCAGGTTACTCATCAGCTGCTGTTCTCCTTGTCACCCTCCACCCAGGTCCTGTCACTTCCGTCCAAATCTCCAGAGCCTACTTCCTCCCAGGCCTCAGTTAGATACCCATCTGCCTCTTGTCCCCTGAGCTACTGCAGTAACCACTCTGGCCCCTTCCAGAACATTCTCTACATTGCCACCAGGGAGAGCCCCTCAAATGTGATGGTGATGGCTAGTCGCCCCTGAGTATCCAGGGTCCTACCTGGTGCCCTGTTGTGTCATCGCCCTTCCTCTGCTCAGGTGTCTCCACATGTACTTTCACCGGACAGCCCCCGCCTGCTTCCTTGGCTACACCAAAAACCACCAAGAGTACCTACTACTTGCAACTCAGCAACCCCAGAGGGCAGAGTACATGGTCCTGTGGGGTTCCCAGGTGGCACGTTGTTAGGAAAGCCCACTGGCTCATCTTCCTCCCAGAGAGGCTGGTGAGTTCCTCAGCCATTGGTTAGCAGCTGGCTTTTTAACCAGCATGAGAGAGGGCTCCTTAAACCTGTCCCCAAGCATGCCCTGGGAAACGGTCTCTGCTCTCAGCATTAGCACCTCTGATGAACCCCTTAATGTCACCGTAGGGGAAAGAGGAACTCATTTCTGGGTAGAGGCCCCTGGGACAGAAGACTTGGCATGGCGAGGGCAGCCTGAGAAGCCAGGACCTCAGGAACTCTCAAGGTAGAACTGAAAAATAATCTGTGCAAAACAGGAAGCAATCATGCCTCTACCTTAGTTACCCAGGGCTGGAGTAACAAATCCCATTAAATGAGTGGTTTCCAAGAGCAGAAATGCACCATCTCAGGTGGAGAGACTAGAAGTCCAAATCAAGAGGGTCAGCTGGGTTTATTCCTTCCACGGCTTTTAGGGACACTGTCCCATGCCTCTCCATTCTTGGTTGATCTGGTTCCTTGGCTTGCAGGTACAGTGCCACACAGCAACCTTCCTCTGACACACATTGGATTAGGCTAAGACCCACGATATTCTGGTAAAGCCATATGCTAACTGGCAATACTTCAAAGACCTTACTTCTAAACAAGGTTATGTTGACAGGTCATAGGGTTAGAACTTCAGTGTGGCCTTTTAGGGTCACAGTTAAGTCCATTACAGCCTTGAAGAAATAAGGTGTAAAAGGCGGTTCACAGAAAGTATTAACTGTTGATTGCTCTTAAGTTGTTCTGATCCTTGGCAACCTCACGCACCACAACAAATGAGCCTGGTGCTGCACTTTCACCTCCTGGGATTACCAGTGAGCTGACCATGGTTTTCATTGGCTAGTTTTTTGATATAAAGCACCATATTAGCCTAGAAGTTCTACTAAAGCCTGTTCAATATAGCAACACACAAGTGCCCACTGCCAGGCTGAGCATGTTGTGCTTGTGGTATATACTGTTGTTGAGTTGGGACCGACCCACAGCTAACCCTCTAGGTTTCAGAGACTGTAAATCTCTCAGGAGAGAATGTCCATCCTTCTCCCATGGTGAAGTTCATAGCTTCCAGAGGCATGTTGTTTAGGAAATGGATGCCACTCCTGCTTCCAAACCTGTCATAGTATATTGTTATATGCCATTGAGTCACCTGAGATGCATATAGTGACCCTAGGTACAGCATACATACATACATTCCCTGTCTGAGCCAGTATCACTGATTCCGACACACCAACCCCTATTGCCTCAATCACTGTATCAATTCATCTCATTCAGAGCCTTCCTCTCCTGCACTATCCATCCACCCTTCCAAGCATGATGTCTTTTTCCAAGGACCAATCTCTCCTGGGCATGTGCCCAAAGTGAGGCGGAGCTCCTCCAAAGAGAGACTCGGTTTCACCTTCTCCAAGAAAGACCTATTTGTTTTCTTGGCAATCCATGCTATGTTCAAGAATAGTCTCCAGCACCACAACTTGAAGGCATCTACTTCTGTTATCCTTAGTGATTGTCCAGCTCTCTGAAG